CAAAGTAAGTCTGCATTTAGAATATAAGAAACTATATATATATATATATATATATAGGATACGATGGCCATGATCAGGCTGACTTGACAGTTTTGTCCAATTTCACTAATAACGTAATTTATGGATATTTCCAAGAATTAACATATTGTATAAAATTATGCTCGTACGCGTGTGCTTGTGTGGTGTGTGTGTATGTGCGTGCGTGCGTGCATGCGCGTGTGTATGTGCGTGCGTGCGTGCATGCGCGCGTGTGTATGTGTCTGTGTCTCCGTGTTTGTGTGTATGTGTGCGTGCGTACGCGGGTGTGTGTTTTTTATTTGCTTGTTTATTAAAACTGTCAGCATTTGACTTTTGTTATATATAAAGCATCTGCTATTATGATGCAAGATATCATCAGCATCATTATGTATTGATATACCTACTTTTTACGCGTTCATAGAAACGTACACAAATTATATACGGTGCATAATTATATTCGTGGTTGATAATGTGTGATATCGTGTGATAACATAAAGAACATGCAGACAACTCTACATACGTTAAAGGCATGTAGACAATACATTTATCCAAGATATAATGGCTGCTTATTGCAGTCGGCAGCCTTATTTGTTCATCGTTTGACTTTTTTGTGCCATGAATACCGTTGGCCGAATGTCTATACCGTTTTACACATTTTTAAGACAATAATCAGCAAGTCGACTCTTATTTTGAAATGAAAATTGGTGTCCTGTAATTGTCGCCAAAGCAATAAAAACCTCTGCTATATAACGTAACCAGTGTGCAGTTGTATTCAGGTAGACGTTTAGGCGACGTATAGGCGACGTATAGGCGACTTTCGGCGACTTTTAGGCGAATCGCGTTAACGTCGATAATTCTTTGGCACCACGACGAGTAACGATTGCACGTATAGTTCAATGAAAGTTACGAGACCAGCTATCAGTGACCGATATAGTTGTTGCGTAATAGCTAATGGCTATTAATTGATGTGTGTAATGGTGACAGTAATTTGAGCGGAGATTTACGTGCAACAAACAAACGGGCATCTAAATTACAGGTGACATAACTAACCTTGATGACACCTGCCATTACGAAGCTCGGTTATTTGGCATGATATTTTATCATATGCATTTGTGAATTTCCTTACCTATTCGGTCGTTATTGTAAATATAACAGGCAAAACATGCACATTAAATTCGTGATATATAGACTATATTACAGATAAATGTTACTTTGTTTAACTGACGGAGAGCAGGTTGCAAGTTCATGTAATCACTTTTACCAATGAGCCGTCCTAAAATAAAGTAAGTCTATCAAGAACGCATTAAGTATGATACTTAATACTTAAATACTAGCAAATACCTGTGCTCCGCACGGAGTTGAATGTTTGGCCAGCCGACTGTGGCATATTGTAAACCGGTAAATATTTGCGGCTGGTTTTTTGCGGTTCTGGTACAATTTGTTAAAAGATATAAATTTTACCCTTTTTAAATTTGCGGACATGAAGACATCCCTTCAGTTTACTCCATAAAACCTACAGTCACATACGCACATCTCAACCTATAGTCACATACGCGCATCTCAATCTGCAGTAACATACGCACATCTCAATCTACAGTCACATGATACGTGCATATCAGTCTATAGTCACGTACGTGCATCTCAGGCTACAGTCACGCATGTATATCACAGTTTACAGTCACACATCTCAATCTACTGTCACATACGTAGCCTCGTAGACGCCGACATCTACATACAGTTAACACGAACAACGGTACATGCATACACATGATTATGATACGGCGTACAAACTCATGAACGCACTTGAACATGAAAACCCGTATCTACTCACTCCGCGCAATAAAAAGCTCACATGATCACATTGAATAGCTTCTTGAATGCTATACTAATACTGTTAACTACACTTACACTAATTATAATTACGTTACTAATTACACTAATAACGATATTATAAGTAATTATTTAAGATTTATCTTGCCTGTGTGCCGATTCGCCGGTGTAACCGTGTGTCTGATGACTAGCACGCACGCAATGC